ACAACAATACAAAAGATCAATAAAACCAAGAGCTGGTTCTTTGAAAGGATAAACAAGATTGATGAGCTCTTGCCAGACTCACCAAAAAAAAAACAACAAAGAGAGAGAACCCAAATAAATACAATCAGAAACAAAAGCGAAGAAGTAACCACCAACCCACAGAAATATAAAGGTTTGTAAGAAAATATTATGAACAACTAACTACATGCCAACAAGCTGGACAATGTGCTTGAAATGGACAAATTCCTAGAAAAACACAATCTCCCAAAACTGAACCAGGAAGAATCAGAAAATCTGAATAGGCCAATAACAACTGAGGAAATAGAAGCAGTAATCAAAAAACTCCCAGCAAACAAAAGCTCAGGTCCGGATGGCTTCACAGGGGAGTTTTACCATTCAAAGAAGAGCTAACACCTATCCTCAAACTATTCCAAAAAATCCAAGAGGAAGGAACACTTCCAAGCTCTTTTTATAAGGCCAGCATTACCCTAATTCCAAAACCAGGTAAGACACTACAAAGAAAGGCCAGCATCCCTGATGAACATCCCTGAGGATGTTTTTGTTTGTTGATTAGTTTGTTCATTGCCTCAGAAAACTTTCCTAATCCCTTATCAAAGGCTTAGAAAGAATAAAACATTCCTTGGAAGAAAAGCTGGCTGGATAAGGCTGTTGGAACATGCATCCGATCTTGTGTCCTAACTGCGCTGTTCTAATTTGTGGTCACTTGCAGTGCAGACCTTCTCTAAAGAGAAGGTGGAAGTGTCTGTTCCTTTCCTTATTCCACTATGAAATGTCTGCCCCGGCTACGGACTGGACTCATCGCTCTGCGCTACCCAAACCGGTGGAAACGCACACCAACCTTTACCAAGCATATGTGCACAAAAGCAGCCCAGTACAAGCCTTGAGATTTCTTTCTCTCCTGGTCGCACCCTAAACTTAAACTCTCCTAGTGAACTTTACTTCCGATGCCAACCTAAAATGTGTTTGAGGGTAAAAGGGTGGGGACATAAGGACATAATATTTTTCTTTACCTAACGTACTTGCTAATAACCCGTAACCCTGGGTTCCTCAATACTGCCTATGTTTTAGCAACAATACACCCCCTACACTAGAAATCTTCAGTTTCTATTAAAAAAAAAAAAACAAACAGGGAAAGAAAAAAAAATGAAATGGATCTAAAAATCAAACCACCTAAGTCAAAAAAGGGGGGGGTTGGGGAGGGAGAGACAAGACTTAAGGAAACAGGTCCACATTTTGGCCTAAACCTTTTCCCCCCAAATATCTGTACTGTTCGCAGAAGTGAAATGTAATTTAGTTTTAATATGAGTTTAAATTTCCTTAAATGAACATTTATAAAGGCACAGTCCAAAATGCACAAGATCCCCCAAACAGCATTTTTATA